GTTTGCTAATTTCCATTCATCAGGTATTTCGCCACAGCTTAACGACTTGTTGAATATTTGGGTGAGGGAAGGTGCAATCTGCCACGCAGTTTCTTTTAAAAGTCGAGATGGTATTCTGTCAGGTCCAGTAGCCTTGGTGGTGTCTAGCGCTAAGAGTGTTCTTGCGACTTCTTCTATTGATAGTTGAAGGTCTGACTGTCCTGACGTCGAAGGTGGAGATGATGGTGGAGAGGAACGTTCTTCTAGGTTATCATGATCAGTGTTGAACACTGATGTGAAGTAGCGATTGAATAGATTGGCAATAGCAGTAGGAGTAGGAGTAGACACATCATAAGTTTGTGATGATTCAGGTTCAGCGGCATTTCCCATTAACATAATCTCGAACACTTGATTGTTTATTGTTCAGCTTAAAGATCGACCAAAATCACTTTGGGTTTGTTTGGAAGATGCCATCAAGAGAATTGTAAAATCTTTCACGACTTTCACGGACCATTTTTTTAACTTTGATTCGTAGCTCTTTAAATTTAGCAAGAAGGACGTCAGATGGAGATGATCTTAACTTCCGTCGCACCGCTTCTTTCTTCCTTGTCTCGTGAATAATGCTTCCATAAATCCAAGGGGGAGAATTTCTACCTTTGATCTTCTTGGTTGGGATGTAATTTCTCACCACGCTAAGGAATGTGTTTTTCCATTGTTCCCAACAGTCATTAACACTTTCTCCTGAATCGATTATGTTCGAAAAATCAGTCATCGCTAAGGCTGAACGTAGTCCGTCCACATTCCCTCTACGGTAATCAAAAACAGTTCTGTTCAGTTTAGGAGCTGCTTTTATGGACGTTTTCAAATTGAAAAGGATTGTGTCGTAATCGGTAAACAAACCACTGTCCATTGGCTTAAGTTTTGTAATGTTCTCAATCTGATCTGGTAGGCTAGTGATAATTAGGTCTAAGATGTTGTTCCGTCGTGTGGGCAAGGTGTTGACCTGAGTTAGGAAGAAATCATTCAATTGTTCCGTGAACATAAAGTCATCACCGGATGAAGTGGCAGATGGATATTGCCAATGGAGTTTGGGAAAATTGAAGTCTCCACAAATTATTACGTTGGTGTAGCGTGAAGAAACTTCTGCTAGGAACGAGTTAAATTTTTCCAACCAAGATTGATCCGCGTTGGGTGGCCTGTAGCAACAACAGATGACGTATTTCAGATTTGAGGTTGTGACAAGTTCTGTTGATACAACTCCAATATCGGTTTCGATATGTACATCGCGTGAGGAAATAAATGAACTTGATTTACGCCGCCACCAGTGTGCATTTCCCGATCTTTTCTGTAGATAGTGTAATCGTCATGGAGAAGTGTTCAGTGTTCGCAACATCTTTTGTGAGTCAGGTTTCCGTTACCCAGACAAGATCCGCGGCCTCAGAGTAAACAAGCTCTTGAAAACGGGCGAGATGACAAAACTTTTTCCCGTCTAAAACATGCTGGCTTTTTAAGCTACGGGCGTTCAGGACAAGATATGTGGTGGAGAGTCCTTTCGATTTCCGGTTCTTTGGTTCATGCTGCGACTCGGAACTGAACGATATAGTTCTACAAGGGCCTGGATTAGTGGCGATATCTCCAGCAAGGAGGATACACAGAAGTAGATGTAAATTCTTATGTTTTATCTGAAGTTCCAAACCATACCGGTATTTACAAGGGTAGTTGGATTTTCTTAAGATATTGTCTCGTGTTGATGTCCAAAGTAAACGAAGTTTATCGGGTATCGTTGTAAGTTCAGAAGCGATGTAAATTTTCTTTGATGTTGGTTTTTCTTTGAAGCGCTCAAGTTCAGGTTTTGATCTTCTAGCCAGCCAAAGGATTAGGAATAAAGTGAGAAGCCATATGACGTATGAACAGCCATCAACTTTACGATTGAGAACTACCATTTTGTCGATAATTTATCGTAATATGACTTACGCGCGTAAATGAACAGAAACTCCGCGAACTTGCGCGAATAGCGTAATGAAAAGTTCGTTAGGTAATCAAAATAACGTCACCAAACAATGCGACGTTGACGATCACGCGTGCGTAATCTCAACGGAATTTCTTTCAGGAACCTTTGAAAACACCAAAACCACGATATTTCGATTCGATACGTTTTTCGTCTAGTAATAATACAGAATCCACACACAAACTTTAATTGGAATAATATAGCCTGTGTTCTTATCTACGATTTTCCAGTAAATTTTACTTCAATCCCGAGTTTTAAACGGTCAAAATGCAAGGATTTTACGTAGCTCCGAGCGTGCGTGTGCACGCGCACGCGCGTATTGCGTAATTTTTTCTCATTTCAGTCACAGAATAAAGACATACAGAAGTGTAACTTCCATTACAAAACCGTAAGGCGCTTTTTTAAATTTTTACCGAAATAGCTGGCGGCCATGTTCTTAGCAAGTGCCCTAAAGAGAGGCATTCACCCCCTGGAATATTAAATTTTCAATATGTTTTCAGGGGGGTGACTGCCTCTCTTTAGGGCACTTGCTAAGAACATGGCCACAGATTAAGAGGACCAGATGTCTGACTTCATTGCAAAAAGCGTAAGGGCTTCGTCACTGCGCATGCCGTACTGCGCATAGCTTAGCAAGTGACTAGAGGCAGTCACCCCCCCGACATTAAATTTCAAAATGGCGGCAACAATTTTATTTTGAGAGACAACAAACATGAAAATAAACTCTTTTTATTTGCCCAAGAGAGGGATTGTGTGGTTAAATTTGTGTTTAAAACTTTCAACGTCAGTACGCGTATTGGAAAAGTGAGTTCATCACACTTAGTTTGCAATATTTTACGAATTTTTCTCTTTCGATCGTCGTAGGAGTGAAAAACTATAGGCGAAATGAAAATGCCACTTTGCTGAGGTATTTGAACTCATTTTCTACAATGTACGATGCGTTTTCTTGCATTTTTGACGATGTCTGATATTCATTGACAAATTATGTGCATAATTTATAGTTTTCTTTGCATAGATATTAACTAGAAAGCTAGATAAGTAAATTCATATATTAATAGACAACTAGATAAGTTAGTTTTGTTTACAAATTTTACATTGTATGCATGAATGTATGTTAATTATCTATTACAAAGACTCTCTTATAAAAATCTTGTAACAGGAAATGTGAGTTTCAGAAAATGTGTGTCTGAGTGTCTCAGACAAAATTATTCTAGAATATTTATTAAATATCTCACCTACAAACAACAAATTCCCATGAATAGTGATCCAATCACATTTTGTCTCCTGATACATGAAAGCAAGGTGCCCAGGCTAAACCGGCATACATGACATAATTATTTAAAAAGCCTAATTTGTTGTATAAATCTTTGTAACTATACTCACATGGTAATGACTTTAACCTGCAACAAATGTTATCATGCAAATGTGCAACTCCCTGTTGTTGTTGTATAATAATACTATTTTACATTAACCCATTGAGTCGCATTGCGGCCTGATGTGCCCAACGTTTCACTCTGTCTAACGCCAGATGATTTCACTTGTCAAGGGGAGAGTGCTGGCCCTTAATTAGTTAAACATTAACAAAATGGCCATAAAGTAGACTTGGGGGGGGGGGTCCAATGTCTATTTATTCAATCATAAATCACTGATTACAGTAATAGGTAGACTGAAAAGATGTGTGAAAGTGTTAACGAACACTGATACAAAAACTTACATTGACCTGTTGGTGTCGACATGTGTTGAACATTATATTTACTGTGTGATTAATATGTGTATAAAGCAAAATATTAAGCATGCTTCGTAAAGGAGGGCTGCTTAAGCCTTAATGGAGGTTCGACTATAGGAGTCTCATATTGGCCGCAGTCTGGAAAGTTTGTAGTTTGCGGCATAATACTATTTTACCTATTAATAAAACAAAAATTAGCTGCACCCTTTGCAAACTTTCCAGTCAGGAATATTGCATAGTTTGTGAGACTTGTGTAAACAAAACAGATTTTATAGAATATTAAATATTGAATTTCCATTTAGTCAGTGTGCTAATATCCTACACATGTAGTCTATACTAACAGAGGAAACCTGTCCAATATACCCAAATTATATATTTTGTAATTTGTTGTTTGTAGGTGAGGTATTTAATTTTAGAATAATTTTTGTCTGAGACACACAGTTTCTGAAACTCACATTTCCTGTTACAAGATTTTTATTAGACAGTCTTTGTATAAATAGATGAATTAACTCAATATTTACAAATACTATGTATACATTCATGCATACAATGTAAAATTTGTAAACAAAACTAACTTATCTAGTTGTCTTCTACTTCTAGTTAATATCTATGCAAAGAAAACTATAAATTATGCATATAATTTGTCAATGAATATCAGACATCGTCAAAAATGCAAGAAAACGCATCGTACATTGCAGAAAATGAGTTCAAATACCTCAGCAAAGTGGCATTTTCATTTCGCCTATAGTTTTTGACTCCTACGACGATCGAAAAAGAGAAAATTTCGTAATATATTGCAAACTAAGTGTGATGAACTCACTTTTCCAATACGCGTACTGACTTTGAAAGTTTTAAACACAAATTTAACCACACAATCCCTCTCTCGGGCAAATGAAAAGAGTTTATTTTCATGTTTGTTGTCTCAAAATAAATTGTTGCCGCCATTTTGAAATTTAATGTCGGGGGGGTGAATGCCTCTAGTCACTTGCTAAGCTATGCGCAGTACGGCATGCGCAGTGACGAAGCCCTTACGCTTTTTTGACTGAAGTCGGACATCTGGTCCTCTTAATCTGT